ATATATAAGGTAATCAAAAGCATGACAAGTTGGACGTGGTGGCACACACCTGTAATCCTAGCAGCTCAGAAGGCTGAAGCAGGAGGATCGAAAGTTCAAAGTTGGATTCAGCTAAAAGTGAGGTGCAAAGCAACTCAGTAAGACCCTGTCTCTAAATAAAATACGAAACAGGGCTGATGATGTGGCTCAGCAGTCTAGTGCCCCTGAGTTCAATCCCCAGTACCAAAAAAAAAGCATGACAGATCAAAAGTATGAAAGATTAATGGTACCCAGATTTATAGATGAATGTGTGCCACATGAGTGTGTGCTACATAAAATCATCTTTAACATTTCATTACAGATATAAGGGTTACTTGATTTTATCCCACCATTTAAATATTAATAATATTAATTGTCACATTTTTTGCAAAATCATCAAGTGTTTATTGTCAATTTTTATGAAAGCTTTAATAGAATACAGAATATGTAAAGGAATATTGACTAATTTTTAACAGTAAATCATAGAACGTCAAAATACTATTTTTGGTAAGGATATCATAACTAGCTTCTTGTCAATAAATTTCAAATAACTGATGTTTTATTCCTCAATTCTACAGATACAAATGTATCTGAGTTTCTGAGTCATTAAATTATAAATATGTAAATATGTAGGAATGGGTTGAGCATCCCTAATGTAAAAATCTGAAATCTGACTGCTCCAAAAATCAAAAACATCCTGAATACACATGATGCCACAAGTGGAAGATTCCACACTATGAAACTTTGTTTCATACACAAAGTATTTAAAATATTATACAAAATTACTTTCAGGTTATATATATAAGATATATAAAAAACATAAATGTATTCCATATTTTACCTTGGATTCCCAAAATACTTTATTATGCATATGAAAATATTCTAAACTCTAAAAAACAATCCAAAACACTTCTGGGCCAAAGCATTTGGAATAAGGGGTAAGGGGTATTCAGCCTGCCTAACAAGTATGTGTATATACATAATACACACAAAATGCCCCACACATTTCCAATGCTATAGAAGGGAAGATCAAAGGGGAGGTACAGGGGAACAAAACTGAGCAAAGCATATCGTTATATTATGTTGAGATACATATACCTAATTACAACACCCCCAAAAAAATTTAAAATGAAGTTTTTATTCCTTTTACTTGCTTATAAATTTGATTCACTTTCTAATAATACATGTTTAGGATGTAGAAAGATTCATATAGTTAACAAATGTTGTTGGCCGCAAACTGATGCTACCAGAAAATAGACAAAGTAGAAGTTAAATTATGACTCCCTTTTCAATCCCAATTTTCAATATAATCCTATTATTCTAAATGACTTCACAGAACTGCCAAAATCTTAAAAATGCATTCAACATCATTAAGGGAAGATTCAAATAGTTTCCATATAGATAGACAATAAAATCAATTTGACTACATTCTAATATTTTTAAAATTGGTCATCAGTATACTTATCTGAAGTAAATTTAACAAATATTTAAAAATCACTGATTGGGCTATAAACTCCATACAAAAAGATGTAAAGTGTAAATACAGGTAGTCAATTAATGTGAAAGCTCAATTATTCAGGACAAGAGAGTAGAATTAAGAATCACCAATACCATGTCAGGCGCTCTGGCTCAAGCCTGTCATCCCAGTGGCTCAGGAGGCTGAGGCAGGAGGATTGAGAGTTGAAACCCAGCCTCAGCAAAAACAAGGCGCTAAGCAACTCAGTAAGACACTGTCTCTAAATAAAAATACAAAATAGGACTGGGGATATGGCTCAGTGGTCAAGTGTCCCTGAGTTTAATCCCCAGAACCCAAAAAAAATTTTTTAAAAATCACCAATATCAGACAAGATTGTTTATGATGTGCTATGTATAAATATTAACATTCAGTTTTATTTTATCCTTTCACTTAATTTTTTTTTAAATGTTCCCTATTATCTTGGATCTTTCTATCATCTTCTAAGCATCCAACTTAAGACAAAACCTTGCTAAAAATGCAAAGAACCATAGAATCCCAGGGTCAAAGGGACCTTATAAAAGGTCAAGTTGTCTATCTTCTTAGTCATCAATACCATATCCCTGCTAATATTCTCTACCTCTTAAGATAAATGTAGGAAGGAAAATTCAGATAAATCTGATAATCTATGAATTGATTATCTGCTTTTCCTTTGGGTACCAGGGATTGAACTCAGGGGCATTCGACCACTGAGCCACATCCCTAGTCCTATTTCATATTTTATTAAAGACAGGATGTCTCACTGAGTTGCTTAGCACAACGCTAAATTGCTGATGATGGCTTTGAACTCATGATCCTCCTGCCTCTGGAGCTACTGGGATTACAGGCATGTGCCACCGTGCCCAGCCTATGAATTGATTATTTTCATCAAAATGAAACAGACTTTTAGAATTAAACAAATGAAGTCTGTCAGTGACATGTTGTTGTAAACCTAGACCACTTGACTTTATACCTAGGACTATCTTAGACTTAAAAAAAATAAAATGAAATGAAATCTGGTAATTTGTCAACCTGTAAATGTCTCATTTTAAAAGTTCAAATCTGCAAATAAGATAATGTATAACACAAAACAAATAGCATATCTGGCATAAATTTTTATATTTTCAGAATATGAGGTTTACCAGTTGGGAGGGACATTTTTCCTAGTCAATTTAACATGATAACATTAACCATAACAAAGGCTATACTAAAAATAAGCAGTGTATCAAAAATAGCATGGAAAAGAAAGATCTAAGTAGGATAAAATCAAGTATTCTGAGTAACAAATCAGTAAACTCTTTAAAGCCTAAAAACCTTAGCAACTCTAAAACTAGTTCTACTCAAACAGAAGTACATGCCGAATCTCCTAAGTAGTACTATACATGTTAGCACTACTAGCATTAGTAGTCAGATCAACAGGTTGTTAGATCAACAAATAGCTTACAAGAATAAAATTCTATTTCCATACTAGTTAAGTATCCCCAGGTCACAACAACTGTGTCCTATTCAAAGACTAAACTCTAAAATAAGAGTTTAATGGAAAAAACTTGTCACAAGGGTTCACAAATTAGGGTGTTATAACACTATAAGCCAAAAAAAGAAGCTCTTTAAATGAGCAGTGCACAGTAACACCAAGCTAGTGTCTATGACTACAACTACAAGCTGAGCTGACTCTTAAAAACTTCAATTTACACTTCCTCTAAATCACAGTCCACAAGTCTAACTTCTGAAGTTTTTAGGCTCTAAAACAAAATATCAAGACCTCTAATAGCATATTATTGAACATATTTTTTAAAAAACAAGGTGCTCCTTCAAAAAATAACCAATTCATTTTTAAAACTGTGAAATTATTATGCAAATTATATCTCCTATATCAGCTGTACATATTACTCATTCTTCCTTAACAAATGTACTTCTGTGGAGGTACATATATTCTTCCCATCATAAATATAAACTGAATAGTCAAGACAGTAAACTGTTAATGTTCTTTTCAACTATCCTGGAACTCAACTGTAAGCTTAGTGGAACATAAAAATATCACACAAATTCAATCAAGAATCTTATATCAATGTAAAGGAGTAATAGCATTAAGATCTGCGTCTTGGAACTAAACATCTGAGGAGTGGCAAGAACACTAGACATTAGATAACATGTCATTTTTCATTACTACATTCTGTAAATCAGAAACTTTCATTACACTACTGATGGTGAATTGGTAATGAAAATTCTCAGCCTATGAGGGGCACTCAAATCTCATAACTTTGTCTACCTCATACCCATCACATAGCCAAAACAGGTTTCTCTTCCTTTCACTTCACACTATCCAAGAAATTCCCACACATCTCTCCCCCTTTTAATAAATGTTGGTAAAGATTCGGCTCGAGATTTCATGATACACTAAAAACCAGTCTTTGGTCAAGTGGGAAGTTCTGCCCATCACCTTACCTTCCTCACCAAGAAAAAGCTCTTGAATGAATAATGCCCTGCAGTATTTTGATATTACCCAAAGGCATTTTGCACTAATCTCCAAAGACTAGTCGTCTTATTTTCCCAAATCACTGTGGTCCGTTAATTACTATTTAGGATTATTTTTCCTGCATAAAAAGCAATTTTTTTTATATAATCCTTAAAAAGTAGGCCTCTAGTCTGAGATATTTGGGAACCGAACTTACAAAGAGACTAGACCCAAATGTGCCAGGAAACTGTACTACATCAAGGGAAAGACTAACACTAGGAATAGGTATGGAGCTGTTTTGATTAAAACAGCCCAGCCGGCGATCGATGTAATCAAGTATTTAACATGTATGTCTCTGTCCTGGAGACAAATAGAATGTCCTAAAATAAGCAGGGGCAGACACGCCCCAAAACTGGAAGGCAGCGACCGGTCTCAATCCGAGATGATCAGAGGCTGCCAGGGCAGAATAGGGCCCAAGGACCTAAGAAAACTGACTGTAAGGGATGCTGCGGCAGGGTGGGTTAAGATGGTGCCTTCTCCCGGGTGGAAGGCCATAAGAGGAGGACAGAAGGCTTCATTCCGTCGGACTCGGGTCCTTAGGGTTTCCGGGATCACAGCTCAAGTTTCACCGGGGGGGGGGGGGGGAAGGGGGCGGCAAAACGTGCATCCCGGCATCTTAACCCCAGCCCAGAAGTCCGCGCTCTCCGCTGGCTTCCCGAAAGAGCTAGGAAGTAACGGTCCCCACAGCTCCGCGCACCAAGCACCATCGCCGGCCCCGGCCCCGGCCATCAGCACTGAGACCCGCGCGGCCGCTAAGACGGACGGCGCTGCAATCGCCCGCCCGGCCCTTTCCGGGCCTCGCCCGGGGCGCGGCGAAAAGTTTCCAGCCAAAGTCCGCGGCACACGCTCGCGCAGCCAACCGCCGAACATAACCGCCTCGCCGCCCCGGAAAGCGGCCCGCGAGGGCCGGGCCGCCGCGCCGGGACCCTCGGTGGCGCCTCCCTCAGCCCGCGCCGACAGCCGCGGTTCACCTACCACAGAGCCGGGAGAAGAGCAGCAGCGGGAAGAGCAGCAGCAGCAGCGGCGGTGGCGTCGGGGGCGGCAGCAGGAGCCCGGCCCCGGGGGGAGAAGCGGAGGAAAGTTGTGCTTTGCCGCCTCCGGGACACAGCGGGGCCGGCCCCGGGGTCCGCGCCATACCCCACCCTCCCCCCGGCCCGCTCTCCCGCCGGCCCCCAGGCTCCCCGGGCCCCGGCGCCTCAGGCTCTGGGTGGCGGCAGCAGCGGCCGCGGCGCAGCGGCGGCTGAAGGTCCGGCGCGCGTGTCCCTAACTCCTAGCTCTTGCGCCGTCGCCGCCGGCTGACTCTCAGCCGAGCGCTCGCGGGTGCCTCGACTCCGCCGTCGCCGACGCCACTGCTGAGGTTGAAGCGGGAGCCGCCCGCCCGCCGCCGCCGCCACTCCCCTCCCCCCGGCACCCGCCCGCCTCGAACTCCTGGGAACTCGGAACGCACCACCCCGCCCTCGCGGGAGGGGGAGAGCAAGCCGACCCTCAAAGCCGGCACCCGGACTCGCTTGCCCTCCCCGCAACTCTGGCTCCCGTCTGATCCCGGGGTGCGTGCTGCCTCCTCCCACCCCTCCCTCCTACACACGCTCCTCCCCCTTCAAAAGAAAAAAAAAAAAAAAACTCTTCATCCACTTTGATAACGGGGTTTCTCCCAAAACAGAGCTTTAAAAAGGACAAGAAAATCTGGAATAGGTTAGCCGGCCCCGCCCCTCGTTCCCGCCTCGTTTCCCCCCATTCCCAGCCTTTCCAATGGTATCGCCCACTCCGCCCCTCGCGGGTCCACAGCGGCCCCGGCGCAGACGGAGGCGGAGTGCTGCGGGACAATCGCGCTCCCAGCTCGCCTCTCAAGGGCAGCGTTCTCCCTCTGGTGGGGACCTGGGTCATGGAGGGGGTGGCGAGGAGAAAGCAGGATGAGGCTGCCCTTCCGTTGCCCAGGCTAAAGGTTCATGTCTGGGAAGCTGGACTCAGCCTGCTAGACTAGTCGCCTTCCTCCTTGCCAGGGCGCTGGGACTGAAAGAAGAGACTTTCTCCTCCTTCCTGCTCCCCGGGACAGCTGTGCTCTCCGAGTCTCTCCCTTCTCTCTAGCCCCACTCCCCACCTCGCTCTCTTGGTGTGGCATATTTGCACAGGCGTTTTTCTTGCGCCTTTCTTTGGGTGGGTGGCTTGGTGGAAGGGTCGGCGGAGCTGGCGAGAGGAGGGACCCCAGAAGGTTTGCTTTCTCACTCTTGATTCTCTCGTGCTGCCGGCTTGTCCAATTTCGGCCCCGGGAGATTGGCAACAGGAGGCCGTGGATATTCCCCATCGGAGGGGCTTCGAGGGCGATGGTGTTCTTAGGTCATTTGCATGTTCGCACGTGTAATCTTATTTTTGCTTGTTTTTCATTGAACTAATCGCAGAATAGCGACCTCGGGAAGTATTAAACATTTGCCAGTAAGTGAGCGCCTGTAGGTCCACTAAGACCCTCCCTCAGCCCAGATGGCTCTCCGCCCAGCTCTCCTCATCTACTCGCCACACACTGCACGGGTGCCATGACCTTGAAACCCCAGACACTCGCCTTTCTGCGGAGGAGGAAAGGATTAAGTTTGGACTGTCCACGGGGGTGGAGTTGGGAGAGGCTAAGGGTACCAGTCCTAGGGCCTTCAACATTCATTTTATATAGTCTTGTCATCTCAACCAGATAGTCACAAATGTGCTCCAGTCAGATGAACAATAATTAGCCACCCAGAGATGAGCCTATCACAGATAAACTAAAGCTTGCCTGCGGCCAAGACCACGTCACTGGGGTCCCCCCACATTCCACCCACTGGCTTACAGTGTTTTACTCACCTCAGAGGATACACATCATTCTACACCCTGCCCGCCTCTCATTTTCTTTACTTCTGCCTCCCATCCAGTCTCCCATAGCTTGGTCTTGTACCTCTTTTATCCACCACCCCTTCTTTCTACTCTCTCCCTCCCTTTTTCTGCCAGCCACTGTCATCTCCTGTAAGCCTGTCTCCTGCAGCCAATGCTTTGTATCACCTATCCTCAGGATGCACTTATGAATAAACCTTGTCCTGCATAGCATAGGGAGATCCCCTGATGATGTTCATAATTGACAGAATGTAGCTATTGTGACATTCCTCAGCTCTGTTGACAGTAGTTTCCCTTGAGAAAATGTCTTTTCCTATTATCCCATACCTAAATCTAATTTTACTGTTAAATTTAGAAAGACCCACTGAGCAAGAACTAGCTAGTTATCTGTTTAGATAGCACTGTAATACTACGTTGTTGAGACACAGTTCAATGTTAAACAACCAAAATTTTAATATCGCTAGCCAATTTTATTCCCCCAGCTTTTCCCTGATGGTTCTAGTCTTCAGGAAAACTAATTCAGTCAACATTTTTAAAATGTGCCAAAGGCTTAATATGGGGTCTATCCATGCAATTTGCTACAGAGACCATGAGTTTCTCAAAAAAAAAAAAAAAAAATGATATGAGCTTTAAAAATAAATTTCCTATATGGGTTTTGAGAAATTAAATAATGGCATGCTATGATTATATTCTCTCACCTACAGTATAAAGAGTATGGAACAAAAGCATTTATAGATGTTATATAAGTACTAAAATAGCAGCATGCTGTTGTTTTACCTACATGTATTATGTTCTAATAATAATTTGTGTTGATATATCATCTTCAACCAGAGATGGCAAAGCTCATGCTCACTTCCCAGGGAAGGTACCAATTACTATTATCACTACTTGACAGCAGGAATAACCTGGGCACAGAGGTTGAGTACTGTGCAAACATTGCCACCATAAGCAGTGGTTTTTCCAGCCAGAACCGTGTTCTTGCCTTCCAATAGGCACCACTGACCACTTAATATTCTTCTTTAAGTTAAAAACAAATTTACTAAGGCAACTCAAATTTCTACCTCCTAAAAAGTGTCCAGTCTTAAATTATATTTTCATCAGATAAAATAAGCATAGACATACCCACCTCAAGCTTTCCTGTTGGAAATTATGACTGGGCACAAAAAAAAAAAGAAAGAAAAAAAAAAAAAAGATTTTCATTTCAAAGTAAAACCCATTTTTCCAAGGACAAGAATTACTTTTGTTTTTTTGAAATCTTTTACAGTATTCTTGGATTTTAGACCCATTTTTCACTTTCCAACTTTATAGATAATTCATGTAGCAAACTAATTAAAAGAATAATTATTACTAATTTATTAATATTTCTGACACCAATGAATACTAAATACATATATTTACTTCTCAGAAAAATAATATCTGAACAAAAAGCCAAGTGATCAATGCCAGAAATGATTTCATTGTTTTGGGTTAAAAGTACTAAGGGTGTCCATCCCACTTTCTTTCTCAAAGACTTTAAATTATCAAGGTTCACTAACTCTTTAACTAAAATAAAAAGTTTTTACTTTAAAAAAGAAATAATTATTTAAAGTGCTGAGAATTTTGCATTTATTAAAATCATCCAAATTAAAACTATCATTAGAAGTCCATAAGGGATTGGATCAAAGTATCTTATAGTTTAGGTAGGACATTACATACTTTAGCCAATTCTCCTTACTGTAAGCAAGTCTTTTATAACCTGCTGTGTGAAGAAGCATAGTGTTTACCTTGATAGAAAAGATGAACAATACTTTGTAGAATGTTTCATCTTGGTAGCAGATAATAATCTGATGTTACCTACCTAGATTCTCAGAATTCTAGAAGAGAATAAAGCAAATACTTAAAAAGCAACCTGCAATCCCACAACAAGTCCAAAACTTGGCAAAATTTTCATCAATCTCATATCCATCAGATTCAATGCTTTTCCTATTGAAAAGATCTTCACCCATATAGTTATACTGCTCCCTCAGATTTTCTTTTGAGTCCTTACTCAAGTTTCACTTTCTTGCTGAGGCTCTCTAAGACTGCCCCATATGAAAGAACTGCCTCCACCCCAATCTCTACCTCCTTAATTTTATTTTCTCCATTGCATTTTACTATCAGACATGTATATATTTATTATGTTTCTTTTTTTCCTTTACTAGAGTGAAGGAGCACTTCAGGCATCTATTTTTTTTTCACTGCTAAAACTCAAGCACCTAAAATATTGCTACATAGATTCCAGATTGAATGATCAAATGATAACTATAGTGACAGCATATTCAAGTGCATATCTAATGGCAAACAAACTCAATAGAAGTATATTAATGTTTAATATCCTGAGTTTATCATTAATCATCTGGAACTTTTTCAAGCTGGAAGATGGTTACACTGACCATTGCTTAAGACTGATTTAATTGCCATTGGTGCTGCATTTTAAACTATTGCTTCTCCTTTCCATATTCATTGTTCTGCATTCTGCTTTGAAATTCTAGGACTGGGACTATGCAAACTACAGTTCTCCTTTACCAGTTAGCTATCTGATATATTCTATCAATAGAGGTCACTGGTCACTGGAGAGAGAGAGAGTGAAGGCAGGAATATGGGAGAAAGGACTATTTCCTTTCCGTTTTCTTCTTGTTCCTATCAGCATCACCTCAGCAATAATAGCCTGTCACTTTGTCTTTGCCCGTTGCTTCCAAACTCTCACTTCCTTTACATGCTAAAAAAGCTCATCATAACCCCTAAATGGTACCAGCCCCAGCTAAACTCTAGAGTTTCCCCATTTCATAGGTCCAATTCTAAGCTCAGCAGGGTCTCTCCTCCAAGCTTCTGAGCTCTAATAATCCAACCTTTTCCTTTTGTTCCCCCAGCTCTAAAGGTGGTAATATCCTGCTTTCCAGCACGTAACTTCATATCTTTGCATCACCTCAAAGTTACCCTTTTTGATCTGGAGATTCCCTCCAAACCCTGGTAATATTTCTCTATAATAAGTTCCTTCAGATACACAGTATGGTATCTGTATTCCTCACTGAACCTCAATTGATACTCTATTTTTTAGTGACTATTTCCTAAAAATTTTCCTTACAACAGTTATTTTTCTCTACATCAAACTGTGTAAAATTAAAATCGCACTACCATTCCAACAATAAATGTAAGTAAAAGCAATAAGGTAAATTAGCAAAACTTTTTCCATTTCCTTGGCACTAATTCACAGTAAGCAGAATTGGTGAGAAACAAATGGAGGTAATTAGGTTGATGTTGTAGTCATATATATGCTTTGTTTTTGTTGATGTTTATCATTTAGGTCATGGTAAAAAATCAATACAAATTTTTCATTTTAGGTGGTTTAGGTGATTTAATTCATTTATGGACCTTGACTACACTGAACAATCATTATGAAACTAAAAGTCAAGAGGATTATTTGGAAATATAGGAATTGGACTTCTCTCCCAAACCAACATGAAAATAAACATACATTTTATGTAATTATCTAAAACCTACCTCTAATTT